TTTATCAAGTCAATTTAAAAAATTTTCCGCTGGTGATCACACTCTGGTGTTGACCACTTGAGTCATACATGTAAACGAAATCATTATCAAAAGTTTTCGGAAACTAGAATAACATATTCGAATTTAGCGTCGAAGAATCGATATCGCACCAAATTTGACAAAATTTGTGTTTCAAACAACTTTTGAAGGCCCATATTTTTTTGGATTTTCATTCCGCTGGTGATCATACTTTGTTGGTGGACACTTTAGTTATACATGTTTACGAAATCGTTGTCAAAAGTTGTCGGAAAATAGAATAACATATTCGAATTTGGCGTCGAATAATTGATATAGCACAAAATATGGCAAAATCTGATTTTTACCCATTTTTGAAGTCCCGTATTTTTTTAATTTGCATTCCGCTGGTGATCATACTTTGTTGGTGAACACTTTAGTTATACATGTCTACGAAATCGTTGTCAAAAGTTGTCGGAACAAAGAATGACATATTCGAATTCGGGGTCGAATAATCGTTATCGCACTGAATATGACAAAATCAGATTTTTATCAATTTTTGAAGGCCCATAATTATTCAATTTTAATTCCGCTGGTCATCATACTTTGTTGTTGGAGACTTGAGGTATACATATAAACGAAATCATAGTCAAAAATTGTCGGAAAATAAAATAACATATTCGAATTCGGGGTCGAATAGTTGATATCGAAATAAATATGACAAAATCTGATTTTCATCAATTTTGAAAGGCATTATTTTTTCAATTTTCATTCCGCTGGTGATCATACTTTGTTGTTGGATACTTAGGTTATACGTGTAAACGAAATCTTGTCAAAAGTTGTCGGGAAATAAGATAACATATTCGAATTCGGCATCTAATCATTGAGTTCGCACAAAATACAGCAAAATCTGATTTTTCGTTAAATTTTGGAAGCCCATATTTTGTTAAGTTTAGTTCTGCTGATGATCATACTTTGGTGTTAGACACTTGACTTGTACATGTCATTGAAATCGTTGTCAAAAGTTGTCGGCATATAAAGCAACATATTCGAATTCGGCCTCGATATATCGAGTACGCATCAAATTTCAGAAAATCTTGTTTTTGGCCTGTATTTGGAGCCCCATAAATCATAAAGTCCCGCTTTGTTCCCTTCAACTTTTATATATAATACTTTTCACTATTGGTACTATTCAAAATTACTGTTAAAAGTTGTCGGCATATTGCGGATCATATTCGTATTCGGCATCGAATTATTAAGTTCGCACGAAATATTGCAAATTATGGTTTTTTGTCAATTTTTGAAGGGCCATATTTTGTTAAGTTTTGTTCCGCTGTTGATCATACTTTGGTGTTAGACACTTGTCTTGTACATGTCATCGAAATCGTTGTCAAAAGTTGTCGGCAAATGAGGCAACATGTTCGAATTTGGCCTCGATGTATCTAGTTCGCATCAAATTTCAGAAAATCTTGTTTTTGGCCTGTATTTGAAGCCCCATAAATCATAAAGTCCCGCTCTGTTCCCTTCAACTTTTATATATAATACTTTTCACTATTATTACTATTCAAAATTACTGTTAAAAGTTGTCGGCACTTTGCGGATCATATTCGAATTCGGCATCGAATCATTGAGTTCGCACGAAATACAGCAAAATTTGATTTTTCGTCAATTTTTGAAGGGCCATATTTTGTTAGGTTTTGTTCCGCTGTTGATCATACTTTGGTGTTAGACACTTGACTTATACATGTGATCGAAATCGTTGTCAAAAGTTGTCGGCATATAAAGCAACATATTCGAATTCGGCCTCGATATATCGAGTACGCATAAAATTTCTGAAAATCTCGTTTTTGGCCTGTATTTAGAGCCCCATAAATCATAGTCCCGCTTTGTTCCCTTCAACTTTTATATATAATACTTTTCACTATTATTACTATTCAAAATTACTGTTAAAAGTTGTCGGCACTTTGCGGATCATATTCGAATTCGGCATCGAATCATTGAGTTCGCACGAAATACAGCAAAATTTGATTTTTCGTCAATTTTTGAAGGGCCATATTTTGTTAAGTTTTGTTCTGCTGTTGATCATACTTTGGTGTTAGACACTTGACTTATACATGTGTGATTGAAATCGTTGTCAAAAGTTGTCGGCATATTAAGCAACCTATTCGAATTCGGCCTCGATATATCGAGTACGCCTTAAATTTCGGAAAATCTCGTTTTTGGCCTGTATTTGGAGCCCCATAAATCATAAAGTCCCGCTTTGTTCCCTTCAACTTTTATATATAATACTTATCCCTATTAGTACTATTCAAAATTACTGTTAAAAATTGTCGGCACTTTGCGGATCATATTCGAATTCGGCATTGAGATGTCGAGTACACATCAAATTTCAGAAAATCTTGTTTTTGGCCTGTATTTGAAGCCCCAATAATCATAAAGTCCCGCTTTGTTCCCTTCAACTTTTATATATAATACTTATCACTATTGGTACTATTCAAAATTACTGTTAAAAATTGTCGGCACTTTGCGGATCATATTCGCATTTGGTCTCGAACCCTAGAGTTTGCATGTAAAATTGAAAAAAATATTGTCCGATATTTTTGTGTTCCCATCAAATGTAGCCGATTTTTATTTTGTATTTTTTTTCATTCCGCAATTATATTCTAATACGTTTTAGTTTTTCTGTTTTATGTGATATACAGTTATGTATGTTGTTATTACCACTACCAGCTAAATGTGCTTAAACTTATATTTTAGTCTGAATTGTTCCCTTCGGAACATATTATTTCAAATAGGATCCATTTATCTCTTATAAATATTGTAATAAGAGATTATTTTCCGCATGGGAACTGGTTGAAAACTGCAGAATATTTTTCCGCTGAAATTCCGCTGGATTCACAGTGGTTAGCAGACCATATTGCAGACGGGAGTGAAATAGACTAAAATATACCGGTATCAGCACGTCTTAATCTTTTGAGATTTTGCCTAATTTCATGATTTTCGTTTATTTGTGTCGCCTCTTTCGTTTGTTGTAAAGGAAAATCGAAATAAACTCACTTGTTCACTTGCCTGAAATAGATTTTACTCGTCGTCAATTGAGCCCCTAGATGTCACTATTTAGTAACAATGTTCAAAAACCTAAATTAATCTTTACTTCTACCTTGCGGATACATTTTTCTCAAATCACTCGCCAGTAGCGCTATGGATCCACAGCTGATCTTTTAATTTGCAGTCAAGTGTGACCTGAAGGGAGCTTTTGATTGGTTGAAGATTTCCAGGTGTTTATTTTACCACAATATCATTCATTCATCAGTCAGTCATCAAATTGCTCTAGTGGGCCGCTGCCAGCAATTTGTTGGATAAGTTATTGTACTGTTGTACCAAGACCATTAGCGCACATACGTAAAAATGTATGATATCTGTGTTGGAAAATGGCTACCGATGGATCGAATGCGCGAATGGAATGCCTGTGTCTAGTCGAAAAACCGGTACACATGGGATTTGTATATGACCTACCAGGCACCAGCCATTCCTGCATTCCAGCCCAGCACTAAATATCATTGTGATGTGAAATTGTACTAAGTTACCTTCATTCATTTAAACTTGGCGCTATCAAAATTATCCTCAATTAAAAATCAGTGCAGTGCAAATTAAAAATCAAAAGTTTCGATGTATCACAACAAGTACCGGTAGGTACTGCGGTACTGAACCATAGGTGATAGATGGATAAGAAACTACAATCTGACAATAGAGCGGATAGAATATTTTATCGAGAAATGGAGAATTTGGCAAATGGGGGCCATTAAATATAATAGTAGTAAAATATGATAAAGTTTAGTAGGCTACATTATGTTCATTCTCTAGATCTAAATTTATATAAATGGAAAAATTTACTATAAAAGAAGTTATTATGCTATTATATGAATATATGGAGGGTCTCATACATAGAACAATTATTTTTTCATAAGTATACCTACAATCATATTTAATCGTAGTTTATATTCACAGCAATACCACTATCTATGATTATTATAATATTAATTAAATATTCCAATATATACCGGTATGCATTATTCATGAAAATTAGTATTGTTTCGTATTAATGAAGGCATATTTTCGATATGGGATAGAATATTAATTATGCCATAATTAGATGATGAATAGAAAAGCCCTTAAAACTTTTGAATCTTCTTTCTGAAATCTTATTTATTTTTCCTTACAATAACAGTAATTATGTAATTGTAATTCACCAGACTACTTTCATTTTAGTAAAAATTGTTTTAAAATCATGAATCAACCCTTGTATCTCAATGATAATATTTAGAGTTGAAATTTACAAGAAAAGATAACAGCCACTATTCAGGAATAGTGTTTTGGATTTTTACTTTCTTATGAAATTCGTTACAGCTTTGCCATCTTAGCCATTATCTGGATGTACTACCATGTTTATTAAGACAACTCATTATGCAGTTATGTGAGATTCACCAATTTTGTTTATATAGGGTTCAGATGTTTCATAACAGGGGTGGGCAATTACTTTTCTGAGTGGGCCAAATACAGATAATAGACTTGGTTAGAAAACTCAAAATGAAAAACAATTTATTTACAACAGCTAGGCTAACGTTTATATAATAAGAAGCACAATGTAACAATCTGGTGTCTGGTCATTATGACATTATTTTCATTAATATTTTCGACCGAAATTTATATCCATAAAAATTATAGTCGTAATTTCAGCAGACACAAATGGGCCGAATGAAACACTTTGGTAGGTTGAATCCAGCCAGTGGGCCGTAATTTGCCCATCCCTGTTTTATAACATCCTGCATCGTCCGTATGCCGATATGAGTCATGATAGCCATTGTAGGTAGGCTATAATTGAATTCAGTAGACCTGTGTGAGTAATAATTTTCCTAAAAAAATATCATCAAAAATTTGGTGTTGGATTTTCTATTGTCTCCCTCTACTTAATTATGCCGCTTTCCCTGTGTAACCTGTAATATTTCAATTTGATTCAGCGAATTTTATAAAGTAGTGATTCGAAGAAAATCAATGTGAATTATTGTTGATGCACTTTTTACTATTCGACTAACTTTTAAGAATGTCGGCCGATATGGAAATAATGAACGAAACAGTGGATACGGATTGTAAAGCACCCACTGAGGACGTAGAAATGGAGTCTCCTACTTCATCAAAAACTCAAACGAGTATTGAAAACGAAAATACATTCTCTGCTATAGATGTCATTGACGGCTGTTCAACAAAACCGAACAAAAAAATTATGGTTATACCAGAAGTAACAGAAAATGAAAACGGCCAAAATTTAAAAAACACGAGTAATAATGGTGACTGCAATCAGCAGAAAGACAATCACTTGGATGTCAAATTATCACCCCCCGTTTTCGTCAATTCAAACCCATTTCAACAAGACATGACATCTAATGATTGTCCATTTCAAAAACCAACTGTATGTCGCACACATAGTTTAGGAGCAAGTGATCCCTCTCCATTTACAATACGGCGTCGACCAGCAAGATTATCATTCGCAAATCAATTGCAAAGTCCGTCAGCTTTCAGACGAAAACTTAAAATGAAATCACCAATTCGAGGTGACTTAGCTGATGAGATGGAAGATAATGTATTGAAAAGATGTAACAGCGCTCCGATGCTCAACGAAATGAAGTAAGTTATGAGTGTACTAAGCAGCGTTCATTTTCATTTTTTCAATTTGAACAAAGCCTTTTTCAGAGACCCACTGATATGCAGATATTTACTCCATTTTTGTATCTGAAATGAATTGTATTTTACACTGATATATAGTGGTTCTCAACCATTTTCTTTCGTGGCCCACTTTCGTTGCATAAAAATTCTGTGACCCAACTTTCTCATGTAAGGGAAAAACTACAAGAAAACTCTTTCTGAAAAAATAATTATACTTTCACTTTAATAATTAAAGTAAAAGGCGGCAGCATCATTCATTGTTACTACAATAAAAATTTGACTATAGTGACACAAATGTTACTAAACTTTTCATTAACTAAAGTAATTTTTAATAAGCCCGTGGGCTCATGGCCCACTCGAAAATGTCTCTATGGCCCAGCAGTAGGCCATGGCCCACTGGTTGAGAACCAGTGAACAAGTTATGTATTACACATTATTCATGCGCCATGTGGTGTCGAACCGATGAGGAGCTTGAAGTGTTATCGAGCATTGTGACAGGGCTGTGGGTAAAGGTGCATAACCACTGTCACTCTGGGTATATGAAGTGTGTGAAGCAAATTACCAATCTTTCACATTCACTCCGTGCTGCCCGGCCTGCCCAATTACGGAGGCGCAGTTGTTACCACTTCATGGCAGCTCCTGCCACGAACGAACCGCGGCAGCTCTTGCCATGGTTTTATAGTGCTATTAAGTAATCAGTAATCACTATTAACGCTATATTCACAAATTAATGTACCAGATTTCAATTGATTATGCGGAATTATATCTACTTAAACCCTAACCCCAAATTCATCAAAACAGTATTCATAAGAAAAACGTTCCAACTTACCCAATATTTGTCACCATAAGGGACAGCCCTGTCTTTACGGCCCACCTGCTGTGGTTACGGCAGCAAAATTTTACCATTGGTTTTCAAATTTACCGCCGCGGTAACGGCAGCCGATCATTGGGTGTGGCTGCTAAAAGTCAGTCGCCATAGGTTTGGCCATAGCGACCATGGTATGGAAATACCGCCATGGTTTTGCGGCAGCTGCAGACGCCACAGAATACCTTAAACTGCACTTGCAATTCCGCCTGGTATTTTGTTGTAATCATCATTTGAAACAAATCAAATAATGAAATAGCCTACATTCGTAATCATGTTTTTTTCATGCACTATAAAATTTTGAAAATTTACACATAATTATACTACTCGATACTCAAAACTACTAGACAACCCACACTTCATTTTCCACATTCTAAGTTATAGTTGGTAACATTTTTTATGGTAATTGGTTGCCAACTGTAAATGATTTTTTCTTATCCACAGTGACATTGATGTCCGGATGGCATGGCATCATGGAAGCGTGACACCAGGATCAATTCGTGCCAGAAGATTTAGTGCCACGGTATTATCAGTAAATGCAGTGAGTAGATAGATTTAGTTTTGTGTGTTTGTATTAAAAATACTCTTTGGGCTTGTCGCTCAAATTTTTCTAGTTTTAGTGCACGGTGACTTGACCTCAACTTAGCTTGGTATTTGAAGCATATAGTAGGATTGGCATTTCTCTAGCCACAGGTAGACATAGGACGGACTTTGGTACTCCTATAGTGTGTGTACCAGGTTGGGGTTAGGCCATAATTTTATTTTTTTTTATACTTCTGGAGCGTCAAAAATAATCGTTAGGCGTGTCGCTCTAATTTTTGTAGTTTTAGTTCACGGTGGCTTGACCCCAACTTAGCTTAGTATTTGAAGCATATAGTAAGATTGGCATTTCCCTAACCGCAGACATATCCATGGGACTGACTTGGGGACTCCCGTAGTGTGTATACCAGGTTGGGGTTAGGCCATAATTTTTTTCCAATCTTCTTTATTTTATTTCTATTACGAGTTCGAGGACTATCTGTGTTAGCCAAGTGAATATACCGCCTGCCCATATGTTTCAGTCCCTTTACACAGCTTGATGTAAAATAGGCGAACAAAATTTACCTCCATATTGGTACATATACTTCTGGAGCACCAAAAATAATCGTTAGGCATGTCGCTCTAATTTTTCAAGTTTTAGTTGACGGTGGCTCGACCCCAACTTAGCTTAGTATTTGAAGCGTATAGTAGGATTTGCATTTCTCTAACCACAGACAGACATGGGACTGACTTTGGTACTCCCGTAGTGTATGTACCAGGTTAGGGTTAGGCCATAATTTTATTCCGATTTCCCTCATTTTAGTTTTATCACGAGTTCGCGACTGTCTGTGTTAGCCAAGTGAACATACCACCTGCCCATATTATGTTTCAGTCCTTTTACACAACATGATTTAAAATAGGCGAACAAAATTTTCCTCCATATTGGTACACATACTTCTGGAGCGTCAAAAATAATCGTTAGGCCTGTCGCTCTAATTTTTGTAGTTTTAGTTGACAGTGGCTTGACCCCAACTTAGCTTAGTATTTGAAGCATATAGTAGGATTGGCATTTCTCTAACCACAGATATGCTAGAGACTGACTTGGACCACTCAAATGCAAATGACTGTTCAACTGTGAAACTAACATGATCATGGAGCATAACATAGACATCGAACAATATTTTGAGAATTGTTCACTTCTCATAACTTCTCCTGTTTAGATAATGTTGAGTTCAAACAGAACAAGTATACTTGTCCCATATTTAGTTACAAAAGGCAGTTCATAAATTTAGAAATCTATAGGGTGTCCATGAAGTTTTAAAATTTTTTCCATTTTGCAAAGACAATTTATCGATACCATATATATATTGTTTTGGCTCTCACAGATGTATTAAATGAGATAAAAAGAACTGACCTCACTCACAACAAACTTAAAATTGTGAAGAGACTTCATGGACACCCTGAATATCAAATCGTGTTCGGTATTTCAAACCATCATCATCATCAATTAGGTATATTAAATGATCAGACAAAATCATCCTAAATGTGATGTTAATTACTATTAGCTGGGGGTCATAGTAAGACGTACTGATTATTAATGAGCAACGGCTGGTTTCTCAAGCATTCTCATGCATGGGAGGATTGTTGGCCATCTATTCACATTTCCATTCTCATTGATTAGGCCATCTTCTCTGCTTTCCTCTTTCCGGGATAAATAAGTATGTAAATCCTCTCCTATCCTAAGTTTAAATTATGGTTTTTGAGCTAAATTTGTAGTTTGTGTGTTTGTGAATAAGACAGGATTATTGCAAGATGGCCATATTGAATTATGGTATAAAAGTTAATGTTTTATTGTCAAAATCTGTTCATATGGAGTATATTTTGTTATTGTTGCAAACAAGTAAAATATATCAACATTTATGTTTGTGTTATTTGAAATATTGAGACAAACAATATTAGCAGTGTAGATATCAATAGTCTTAGGTATATTTACATGTTGTTATTTAGGATAGGATTTATGTATATATATATATATATATATACTGGGAGAGGAAAGTCGATAAGACGACTTAATCATATGGTGAACCACGGCCTCTCGTCGGTTACCAGTTCAGGTCGGTTATGGGATTAGCTAGCCAGTTATTTGTTTTCAGATGCATGGATTATTTTGAGGTTTGTTTAAAAATTTAAACTACTGGTATTGGATTGAATAATGGGATTACCTTTTTTTGTCTAATTTTATAAACTCATGCTTTTACATTGAGTCACACAAAATACAGTTTTAAAAATAGTTGAATGCCCTTTTGATCGGCAATGTAGGAAACATGCAAATTATTGTAGGTCAGACGGAAGTGTTCCAATATCATATCATGTTATGTTATTCAATATCCTGTCTTACATGATGTCAGTGTGCAATGACCATGTGTGTTAACCGGTAATGCCCTTAGTTATGATAAATAGGAATAAGTTATAATAAATGTTGTAAATTAATTTCCTCTGAATAATTGCAATTTTGACTTTTTGATTTACGATAGTATGATAGTTGAACAAACTTCATGTGAAATTTTCAATATATTTTGTGTAAATTGTTCAGCTTCTGCCATAACTGATTATGTGAACTTGAAGTTTCTAATAAGTTGTTCAATTGGACTTACTTCATTAATATTTTATTTGCAAATAAACCTAGCCATTTTAATGTTTAGGCAGTTTTACAGTTCCGTAACACAATACCGGTTACTGCAATAGTAATATCCAAATCATAGTAGTTTGACAGAATTCAGCCGTACTCATTAGTCATTACCAAATGCATCTACAAATGGCCAACTAATCCCATACCCGACATGGACCGGTAACTAGACAAGAAGCTGTTGTTCACCATAGGTTTAAGCCGTCTTATCAGTTGATAAATATGTAAATCCTATCCACCCTGGATATCCTTCTTCTGTAAAATACAGTTTAATATACCAGTAGACTTTTATTCCTCAAATACAATTTAATATCAACAAGATTACAAAATGTCTGAGAGACAATTTATTCCAAAATCCCAAATTAGTCTATACATCCACTGTATATAATATTGTATTTTTCACAGGAAGTACCAATTTCGATCACCAAAGCTTATCAAAATCTTTTTCCGGAATATTTAACTTTATTTTTCAAATTCTTTTGAAATATGGTACAAAGCAATAAGTTACTATTCCCAACACATTAATTGCAACCTATTTTAAATATAAAATATTGAATATACTCAACAATCTCAATTAAGTTGTGTAGCCTACTTGGTATAGATTGATATATGTTGATTAATAGAGAATAATTAAACATACATTAAGATTTTGTCTGTTGTAAAATATGTACATTTTAAATAGCTCATTAGTTATGTGTTAAGTAGATCATGATCTGCTATGTAGGGTGTGATCTGAATACTAATTAATATTCGACACTTATTAACATAATAAGAATTGTATTGGTGGTCTTGTGAGTTCATTTTCACAATTCATCTAAAGATATTTGAAAAATTTAGTATTAATGGAAATAAAAATTGATTCTCAAGAAAGAGGTATATTGGTAGAATACAGAAAATTACATAAAACACAAAAATTAGTTTCTTAAAATTTGTTATTTTTCGGAATCATTCATTGTGTCAAATTTTACAGACTAAAATTAGTAGGATTCAAGATATCTCCATTCCAAATTAATTGCAACATTTGCAAGGCCAATTTCTATAATAATGAATTACTGGATATAGGTGCCTCTAGGCCCTAAAGAAATAATTTTCTCAGGAATTCATTATATCGACTTATACAACTTGTGAATGCATCCCGTCTTCGACATTATTGTCAGCCTGTCTATATTTTTACCATTACTAGACGAATAAACATACATTATTCAAACGATAACGATAATGAATTGCTGAATATAAGTGCCCCCTGAAAGCCATCTGAAATAACCTAAATTGACATATTTTAAAACAAAATTATGATTGATCGATTGGAATCATTTTCGGCCTCGGCCTTTATTCATTATTTATTCTTGTTGCCAACTATCCATTACCATCTTTCTATTATTATTTGAAGGTATTTTCCAACTTCACTCTCTACACACTCTAATCATGTCATTTCATTTCAGTCTCCTTCTGCTGGGACACCCAAGTCAGCTTCAAGACTCAACCAGCTCAAAAAAGTGAGTATGCATTGTGGTGTTCGGTGTATAGTTCATAATTTTTATTCCGGATCCATGCAAATACTATAATACTTTAGAGAAGGGCTACTCAACTATTTTCACCAAAGGTCCGTTTACAAAACTTCAAAATTACTAAGGGGCGGTCCGCAGAAAAGTTATTTCATTGAATAAACGAAACTTCAAATGCAATGATAAATTAAATTCCAGAGCAATGAATGGCTCGCAAATATGGACACAAATATCGCACATCGTTACCATTGCGACAAACTGTATAGCTGTGTATTTGAATTGTATCGAAATCATCTATAACTTTAAAACGATGCTTATGCTGCCAAAATAAACAAGCAGACTCGGTCCAAATTATATGGCCGAAAGGTCACCTTGTTGAGCATGAATTGTTTGAACTTAATGGGATTTGAAATACACCAATCAAAATAGCGCTCTAAATATCACTTTAATGCTAAATAGGGGGCCATGTATATCGAAACATTCTAGGAAGGGGGCACCGACCCTCAGTAAATATAGCGAAGCCTAGACAATTTGGTTTTAATAAGTATTAGAAATTGACTATATTCACAAATTATTTATTTTCGGAATTCACATCTTCTGAATTTAAGTTTGTATTTTTGTTGTGAAACTGGCAGTGAAGTATGGCATACAATGAAAAATTGACAAAAAAATAACTCTATTCAGGGAATTCAAAATTAAAATTTATACTAGGCTGCAAGATATTAAGATGAGCTTCAACCTCCATACTTGAACTGTGTTTTGCTAGTTGCTACCTATGTCAATTGCACAAATGCATAGAGCAAGGAAAGATCTCATGTGACCGCAACTGATAATCATGTCCATTGGTATGCTATATTAGGAGAAATAAACATTCCTCAGAAACCATCTACCAACCATACATGGCCAAATATAATTAATCACCATTTTTTACGAGGCTGATGCTTCATTTCAACACCAGCCTTCCTTACTCTCCTAAATATCTATTCACAGGAAGAAAGCATAGAAGGAATACAATACAAGGAAACTGCTCATGAAAGGTGGGATGACTATTTTTAATTACAGGCGCGTTTCAGAAGCTCGATATTAAAGAAATAGAATTAAAATTGATTTATAAATTGAAGACGTGATAATCAAAATGTCTTTGAATGAGGTTTACCTGTGATTAGAAATATGGATCGAGTAAAATCTTATGGAATATTGATACTTGAATTATACTGATACGTAATTTTTCTTAAAATTGACAATTTAAAGTATCAGATACAATAAACCTTGATTCCATTCCAATTTGATTACTTTGTCATTCCCTTTAGTATTCCTCGTTATGTTTCAACTGCTAATTTTTTTGTGACTCAAATATTTTTTTTACTTTACAGAGAAGTACAGACATCAATACAGATGTACAATACATGTGGAGAATTGTCTTTGGTAAGTTTCTTTTTATTTCATATGAAAGTTTTCTAAGAATAAGTTGTGAACTGCCACTAATAATACAGAGAGCACTCAAGATTTATAACAGTCATAAAATGACCTTTAAAGGAGCTATATATATAGATGACCAAAAATGGGGTACTTCTGTAGTGTGTGCAACAAAATGGCGGACACCAGAATGTAGTATGTGTATCAGGTTAGGGTTAGGCCATAATTTCAAGTACAAATAGCCTACTATGGGAGTCTTAATGAACTAAAATGAGGAAAATTGGAATAGAACTATAGCCTAACCCTAATCTGGTACACATACTACATTCTGGTGTTCGCCATCTTGTTGCACATACTACGGGAGCGCCAAAAACAGAATACTAACTATTGAATCAGAAATTTTTTTTAACACTTGATCTTCTGTTTGTGTATGATTGTACCCAAAAGTTTCAGTAATCTGGGACGCTAAGTTGTCTCTAGAATATATTCTGGATGACCAGGTGTTTTGTTTCATTTTTGGATCACCCTGTATATCAGGGGTCGGCAACCTACGGCCCGTGGGCCAGATACGGCCCGTGGGCCAGATACGGCCCGTGGGCCAGATACGGCCCGCGACGTCTCACTGAATTATGGTAACAAAACAGGTGTTTTGGCGATTATATTCTGTACGTAACAGAATTTATTGTAAGACAAGTGTAGACTAGATTATATTATAATCTAACAAGTATAAAATCCTTAAGTACTCGTTTATTGAGCCAATAATTTAATTATAATTAGACAAATGGCAACAAAATGCAGAAAAGTTGATGCTTAATGCAAATGGTTCGAATGAGGAAATAAATTTATATTCTATTCGAGAGATGTAAGACTGCTTCATTTATTATAAAAAGTATCATCTGTTCGATTTTCAACTTTCTAGAAATATGTGTGGCCCGCCAATGTCCTGCAACCTTTAATTTTGGCCCGTGAACGACAAAAGGGTGCCGACCCCTGCTGTTTATGGTAGAATTATCAATAAATACTGACTTTAAACAATTCGAGTCAGAACTGTCAGGATTTTTAATAAATGGCTACATCTGAGTTGCGATGATACATTTATTTGACCAGATCACAGAGAATGCACAAATTGTTGGAATGAAGACAATTTGTCATTTTTTAAAAAGGGTAAAAAAGTTTAAAAAGTGCTGATAATACGCTTTTAGAAAACTTTGGGAAGCTTCATTCTTGCTCAGCAATGCTGTTTGAGTTTTATTTATCCACTTTATAGTGAAGTAAGCCATGATTTTAAAATGAGCATTTACTAATTTGAAAATAGCTCATTTCAATTGTGTTCAAATATTTATTAATCTGCTTTTGACATTCTCACAAATCCTGATTCATGATGTACCATTCTGCCAGAATTAGAAAATTGAAAAGGCGTTCATATATATAGCCTACTCCAAGAATCTTCAACTATTAACATATTTGTCTGTAGTGTAATTATTTTGTTTACAGCTACACAGTTACTTTCCCAAGAGCAATTTTGGGATTAGCTGCTCGGTTATGTTGTTACTGGCATTTTCTTCCAGAGTTTGGTAATTGCTTTTAAGTTTCAAGGCTAATTTTAGGCACATGGCTGCTTAATAAGGCAGTTCAGTCCAAAAACTGTAGTTGACTTGTTTTCCATATTTACAGCCACAGCCAACTTTTGTGGATCGAATTTTTTGACCTGATTTCTTTTTTCTTTGTTCATTTTAGTACCATTTGGCCAGAAAATACCATAAAAGGGGGACAATACTGTGCCTTCCCTCTCAGTTTTCATGAATCGGCATTCTCACAATTTGAATCTGGAATTTCTCCGCCATGATTATTATATTTGATGTTGCGCTCATACATGGCTGATTGAAGTTTTATTCCAAAATACTTACCTAATCTGTTATTATTTTTGAGTTATAGCAGAAGTTGGAAACATTGGAAAGAAAATTCACTTTATTAACAATAAATTACATCAAAGATTAGTTTCATAATATACATTTATTATTTCATACAATATGTAATCTTGTTTTTGTACAAAACAATCATGATTTAATAATTTTATTCAAGTAGGCCTGCGGAATACTGGCATATTGGATTGGTATTTGAGGTAATGGATTGATATTTTGTTACACACTTAAAATTTTCTCGCTGTGCACACAACCTTTCAGTAATGGAAATGTCAAGAGTTATCAGCTTTTCCATTATGTTTTCGCTCATGCAAAGAGAGGCCTCACTGATCCCTCCTAGTAAAGAAATTACTACAAACTAAAATATATACGTAGTAGTTTGTTCTTCATGGTTAATGGTTCCGAAGTGGCATGATGACATCTAGGAAAAGAGAATGTATGTAGATTATTTAAAATCCTTATAAAGATTTGAAAAAAATAAAAATAAATTACTGGCACGTTTCATCTAATTAATATTTTTCTAATTCCTGAATTCCAATATTAAAAAATCATGGATGATGTAACATACTTTGATGACATCATTTTTCAAAATCTCAGATTATTATGTAACTAAAAGATAATACATAATAATTATACCAATACATCAATGAAACATATAATGTAATGTCTCATGAACTTTCTGGGATGTTTGAACTCAATTGATGTTTGTTAATGTACTTCTCATAACAATATTTCTAACCCACTGGACACTAGTATATACTAAAGCTACATATTTATACAAATACAGGGATATAGTCAATTATTTGAAATGCGGAAAAAAAGCATTTTTTTGAATCATACATAGAAATTTTTCGAAGATTGAAATGCTTTTTAGACCCTCAATACTTTTGAAAACCCTTCACAAATATATTTTTCTGGAATGTCTTGCTTGATATACAGGGTTTTAAAGTCCTGTTAAAATTTCAATTTTGCTATGAAGTCAGTTCTCAATATATCTTATCAATGTTTGTTTTATTTCAATCATTTTTTTATTCATTTATTACACTTGTATAGGGGCCAACAAACTATATATAGTACGGATGAATTCACTCAGTAATTCGAAAAAGTTTATGACATCATGAACATTGTATATTTGTTACATGTTCGTGATATTCATTTTGAATGAGTTTCCTTCATTTTTTCGTTTCTTCATTTCATAATGATCATGGACTCCTACCAGAAAAAAAAAATCTTATTTTATAATTGATTTGCATTACATGCTTCTTTAATCTTTAATGAAATTTTTATTTCTACGTATTCATCTCGTGACTCTTGCTATAAATTGGAATTCCCAAAAAATCCAATTTTATTTACTTTAAGCGTAGCCAAATATAAACTATTGGATAGCCATTTCTGTCAACCAAATTAAATCTTTGATTTGTTGACCTTTCACTTGAAAGCAACTTTCAGTACAAAATTAATTACTGTAATTGAAGTTACCGAACTTGATAATTTGAATAAAAGAGTAATTTTGATGTTCTTATATTAAAAACAGACTATTTCAACATTTACAAAGATATTTTCTAAATCCTTCAACCCTTGCTGTAATTTGAAATTTTATTTTTTATTTATTGTCAAATTAAAATCTATTTACCAATTTGGATTTTTGAACATTTATTTTTTGGTGTATCCAAATAACAATTTGGTTACGTACATTTATAGCCAATTTTAATGTCCATAAAATTTCAGTATGTTTCAAAATCTTTGACCAACCAACCTTGCTATAATTTGAAACAAATTTTTTAGTCTTTTTTGTACTTGTTGAATTAAATCCATTTGCCAATATGAATTTATAAAACAGTTCTTTTATGGTGTATCCAATTAAATCACATCAATTCGATTACTGTACATCAATGACCAATTTCAATGTCTAAGTAGTTTAGGTATGTTTTAAATTCTTTGACCAACCATTGAGAAATCTGAATGTCCAGGAAATTTCTATAGGTTTCAAATTCTTTGTAATTTGAGAAATCTGAATAATTTAGTAGCGTTGTTGAAATATGAGAAAGAAAAGATTCATTTCGTACTCTGTTCTATATCGGCTTCAAAGCTTGTTTAACAAAAGTAATGAAAGTTGATATTTAACACACGCTTGGCATCACCATGCGATGCTCGAAATTAAATAAAATTTGTTCTCATATTTCTATTTACACATATAAAACAAGTTAGTACGGTACATTCACGGCATAATACTTTGGTTTTCTCAACTAATAATACTGACAATACTGGGAGATAATAGGCATTTTTACATGCTTGACTGATGTTATACAGCTTTAGAGTTGAACTACGATTTTATTAGTATAAATATTTCAGAATTTTATCCATTATTTCATTCATAATTCATTTCAATCAGTATTTGTTTCATTATGCAGCTGGAAGATGACATTTCAATATTTATTTTGACAAAATTTTATTCTATGACATGGAGAAGTACATTTTAGGTGAAAAGTGGTAATTTTTATAAAATTAATCTTGAATTAGGCGTAAAGCGTAAAAAGTTAGTTTCCTGATATGAGGCAATGCATTTCTAAAATGAAGGATGGAAATTTGTCAATTCTTTGCCATATTTATTCAAACATAGTCACACAGGTCCCAAATAATCAATGATAATTAATTTAACCTTCAAACCTCAACATAAATTTCATTTCCCCTAACATGAAGGTAAAACCACTAGAAAAACATTTTTGCAATAAAAATCTCATTATGCAGTTCTATCTATCTTAACCGTTGTTTAGAATCAGTTTGGTAAAAAATCTCAATTTCTGAGTTTTTTTTCGATTTTTCATTCAATATTATCTACCGTGCAATCTTTTTGTTCTATCGACCGTGATAAATAATTTATAATAATCCTTGTAGTTTCCAATAATCAGTCAGTTGCCCTTGACTTTTCTTTTTAATGAGTATTCCAAATCTTATTTTGGTTGACAAAATTTTCATAAAAAAATGTTTTTGAGGTGGGCAACTGTTTTAGGGCAACCAACTGCTCGAAAAGCAAGACTTCCAGAAGGTGCTCCTTCTGAATGAAAAAATTCTAAAAGCTTTCCTTAA